GTTTGGGATATACGTGTTGAATGGCCCGCGAGCAGATAAGAGCGAACAGTCTTAAAGCTAGTGTAGCTGTTGCTGTTGGTGCTGTTGTTACTGGTTTTGTTGTTGCTGCTGTTGCTGATGCTGATATGGTTGATGTTGGTATTGTTGTTGTTGGTGTTGTTGGTGGTGTTGTTGGTGGTGCTGATGCTCGTTGTGTTGATGTTGTTGCTGTTGCTGTTGGTGGTGCTGTTGTTCGCGGTGGTGGTGGTGGTGGTGATGTTGATGTTGGTGTTGGTGTTGGTGTTGGTGTTGGTATTGGTGTTGGTGTTGGTGCTGGTGTTGCTGTTGTTGCTATTGCTGTTAGTGGTGTTGTTGTTGGTGGTGCTGTTGGTGCTGTTGTCGTCGTCGCTGTCGCTGTTGTTGTTGTTGTTGTTGTTGTTGTGCTGGCCCCCCGACAGCCGAAAACAGCCCCAAAAAACCGCCGACCCAATTTTTGATTGGAGCGTCAGATCTCCAGGCTTGTCGGCGGCGCGCAACGGCGAAGAGGGGTGGCGCGGAGCGGGGGCGGCCCTCCTGAGGGGCAACGGCAGGGGGGAACTGGCATCGGGGGGGACACATCGACCTTGAATCGGCGACACACCGCCGATAGCTCGGCGATAGGCCCCAGATAGTGAATCCGCACGTTCCTGGGCAGGTTGGGGCTATCGGGCCCCTGTCGGCGATCCATGGGCGATTGGGGGACGATGCCCCTCCCAACCTGTCACACGCGGCGCACATGTCCGCGTCCGCGCCCTCGCGGTCTGCACCCCTGGGCGCCATCCCGCGGAAACGCGGTCGCACGGATACATTCCGCGCGGGACATCCGCGACAAAAACGCCCCGCATCCGCGGGCCCGGCCCGCGAGGCCGCGGATACGGATCCATGTTTCGCCCATGAACCTGAGCCCATCCCGCCCCCCTCTCGTTGCCCCTGAGGGGTGGGCACGGAGGGGGGCGGCCGTCCGAGAACACGCCAGAGACCACAGCGACCTATAAGACGGCGCGGCCTGTCGGGCCGCCACCGTGGCACACCGCGCGGAGGGCGCTCACGCGCGTCCTTGCGCTGGAGGCTTACGCGCGAATGTCGGCGCAGCCGACCCCGTTTCCTTCCGTCGCTCAGGTGAGCGACGAAAAGAAACGGGTCCTGCGCGAGATGGCATAGCGACCCTACGCGACAGCTTACGCTGGCCGCCAGCGCGGCGCGCCACATTCGAGACGAGGGCGCCTACGCGCGACCTTACGCGGGAAGCTTACGCGCGAATGTCGGCGCAGCCGACCCAGTTTTTTGGCGTCGCTCCGGTGGCTTCTTAGCGGCCCTCCCGGCGTCTGCGGGGCCTTCTCTAGAGGCCCGCAGGCCATTCTGTGGCAAGGCCCCTGCCTTCTCAGAAGCCCCCCGGCTTCTCAGAAGGCCTCCCCCCTCGAGCTACCCCCCTGCTTGGAGGCCTCCCACGTGGGGTCCAAGTAGGTGAGGTCGGAGTATCGCGCCGCATCGCCGATGCATCAGCAGCGTCGGCGATGCACCAGCGATGACGGCGTGGAGAAACCAGGGCCCACATCGAGCCGTACTGCCGATGCATCGGCGATGCGGCGCGATCCTCCGCCCCCCGCTACTCGGACCCCAGTTGGGAGGCCTGGATTATGCGCGCCGAGGAGGAGGAGAGGAGGGGGGAGGGGGAGGGGGAGGGGGAGGGGGAGGAGGAGGAGGAGGAGGAGGAGGAGGACAAGGAGGAGGAGGAGGAGGAGGAGAAGGAGGAGGAGGAGCAACCTGAGTATGCCACCGCCGATGCCCAGCGGCAGCGGCAGGGAGCCCCCGTCCTTGATGGCCACGGAGCCCACGTCGGGATGCAGCATCAGCCCCACCGACAACGGGACGCACCGTAGGCCGCCGTTGCAGCTGCACACTCGGCGGTGGACTAACCTCCCTTTAGTAAAACGTGGTTTAGTGAAAACGACCTGAGGCTCAAACCTGGCGGGCGCAAGCCTGGAAAATAACGGCCACGGCGCCCTCTCGAGAACCGAAAACGGATAATTCACTAATCGACGTGTCACTGTTGGCGGTTCTGTCCACCCCCGACACACGGCCACCGGGCCCAAAGGAAGGTCCGTCCTGGGCCCTTGGCAAGCGCGAGTGCCGAACGCGTTCGTCGGCTCTCGGGCTGGACTTCTCCGGCCTCGAAATGCTGCGCCTCACCGAGGGCAATCCGGGGCCGCCGGAGACCCGAGTTGTGAACCGAAAGCCGAGAACGTTCCAAATCTCCAGCGACATGATTTGTTCCATCACGGCGTCTTTCCGGGATGTCGGCCCTGTGGTGCTTGGTATCGGGCCCGGGGACCATCGAAAACTGATCTGGAGCGGAGAAAACACGACCCCTGGGGAAGGGTTGCTTCGATCGCCGCGGGGGGGTGCTACGAGGATAGGGGGAAACAAGTCGATGCTAAGGTGGGTGAAGCCTACGCTAGCCTATAAGTAGGTTGCAAATCTCCGAAGTGGCTTAAGAGCGTACAGATCTGGGCTAAGCGGGCGGAGCCTGCATAATTAAAAGAGTTCTCTAGTCACCCGAAACCATTTAGGCCACATGCAACACACTTAGAAGCTAGCTCCGGCCAAATATGGCCCACCTTGGCACCACCTTCCAACCCCTCTTTGGCGGCGCGCACACGACGGTAAGCGCGAGGGGGGCGACCTTCTCGGAAGGCGGGGAAGCTTCTTAAGAGGACAGGGGGCCTTCTTAGAAGCCCTCCCGGCCTCTAAGAAGCCTTCCGAGAAGCCTCCGGGCCCTACTGAGAAGGCCCCCGCCCTCTAAGAAGAGCGCCTCCGCCTCACAGGGCCGCCCCCCTCGTGCCACCCCCCCTGTGCGCGCCGACGACATCTCCCCTTAGCACCCACCGCGGCGATCCTCGGGTCGGGCGAAAGGGAGGGGGATAGCAAAGGGGGGGGTTGAGCATCAGCTCACGCAGCTGATTTTCCCGGCGCCTCCCGGCGCCGGAGGCGGCTGTGTATCGAGGAATGGGCCCCTCGGTGAGGCCGAAACCAGCTGCATGCAGCAGATTTCGTAACCCCCCCTTTCCCAATCCCCCCCTTTCGTCCGGCCCGAGATCCATGGAACAAAGAAGGGCACACTAGTACTATGTGTCCTCCTCGGAGGCGTGCGCCCGACCCAGAGATAGTAGCACGTAGATCGCTTGACGAGCGGTACGGCCAGAAAGCGCCCGCCAAGGAGCTCATACTATCCAATGTCTCGGCGTGCGCGTCGCCCCTTTTGGGGCGTGACGCACACACAATAGTAGTACGCTCGGGTGACGCCGAAATCCAGCGGCGGCAATCGGCAGCCCAAGTCGGGAGAGGTCGAATCGGCGGAAAAATCGGCAAGCAAGGCCTCGATTGAGCGACCGAAATCCACATCGTCCTCCCTGGCCGGGCTCATCCTAACCCCAGCAGCGGTGTATACGCCACGCCCTCCTGGCTTGGCCAGGAGCGCGCGCACGGCTCATGGGCCCCGGAAGGGCCCGACCAGGGGGCAGTGGATATGTAGAAAGGGCAGTTTTTAATACATGGGATTTTTTGTTCATATGGGATTTCTAATACATGCTTAATGTATGAGTAAATTCATGCATGAACTCATCGTTGTTTTTAACACTACTAAATCCCTGCATTTTTAATACATGACCCGCACGCGGAGCATGTATTAAAAACTGCCCTGTATAGAGCTCGTCGCCCGAGATTAAGAGAGGACGACACGGGGGGACCAGCTCAAGCGGAGAAGCCCTGACAGCCGACGCTGCAAAGAAAATGCTGCATCACAAAAAAATCACGGCTGGAGCCCCGGACCCCATCGTTCTGCGTTCTGCGTTCTGTTTCGAGCCTGCTCGATCTGTGGGGGCCCCGGGGCCCGAGCCCAGGCGAAAACGCCTGGTGTGAAACCGATTGGCAGAGGACCTGGCCATCTGCAGCCGTGAGTACCGCAGTTGTGAACATCGTCTTCGGCGAAGCTCCCCATGGGGGCACGAAGCGTGTGAGGGGTGTCCAGAAAAGAGCGGAGGGCCACATGCGGACGTTGCCTCTGGGGTTATGAGATTCGAGGCTGGCTAGACTGGGAAATCCTCGACTTTGGCAAAGTAAGGAGAAAGCGCAAGTACGCGTATGACACGATAGCACGAGTGTACAATAAGTACGGATCGAAAGAACACGACAGGCGAGGTCCGCGCAACGCAAGTGTGAAATATGTGCAAAGCGGACATACGGGTAAGAGCATTGGAAAATATGAGTGAAAAGTATGGAAGGTACAAAGGTTTGAAAAAGTATCTCGAGATACGTTTGTCATATGTTTTCACAATTCAAATGTCTCAACATCTGTACGTCGCATGTCACGGCACATTCCTCGTACTCGTATTTCGGAGTACTCTCTCTTGCAACTAGGATACTTTGCGTTCCTCAGTGTAGCTGGCCGGAATCTCTCAACACTGGGGCCTTCGGAGGAGCTCGCTATGGGGGCACGAAACGTGTAAGGCGTGTGCCGAAATGGGCGTGACGTCCATATGCGAACGCTCACTCTGATGCCTTCGGAGGAGCTCCCGCCCTAGCGGGTCACGCAACGCGTGAGGTGGTGAGCCGAAACGGGCGTAACGCCCACATGCTAACGCTCCCTCTGGGAACTTCGGAGGAGCTCTCGAAGGAATCACAAAACGCGTGAGTGGTGTGCCGAAACGGGCGGAACTCCACATGCGAACGCTCCCTCTGGGGCCTTCGGTGGAGCTCCCGAAGGGCTCACGAAACGCGTGAGGCGTGTGCCGAAACGGGCGCGACGCCCACATGCGAACGCGCTCCCTCTGGGGCCTTCGGAGGAGACCACGCAAGGGGTCCAAAAAGGGCGTGACGCCCACATGCGAACGCTCCCTCTGGGGCCCTCGGTGGAGCTCCCTGTGGGGTCACGAAACGTTTGGCGGGTGTGCCGAACTGGACGTGCGGTGGCCAGAGGCAAGGATGCGAGAAGGGAGGAGGGCAGCGGGTGGGAGACGCGGGGCGCTGTCTCTTCAAAACGAAGACCCAACACCACAGGATGGATGGGAAAAAAAAACAGGATCTCAGGGTACGTTGCCCCTGATGATTATGGGCCAAGGGCTGGGGCTGGTGGCCGTGCACGTGCCGGCAGCCTCCGGGATGGAGATGGCCCCCTTGCCGAAGGTGAAGGAACTGACCTGGACGCCGCCCAACCACTCGGGCACCTCGGTGGGCACGTCCCCCAGCAGGAAGGGGCTGAACGAGCCCTCCTCGCGGCCGGCCAGGGCAGCGGAGGCGTGGCAACGAAGGGGACCCCAGCTGAGATCCTGGTTTTGCAGTACTTGCAGCGGGCGTTCTCTTCCGGTTTCGGGCCCAACAACCCTCACAGATCGATGCGCCTATCGGAATGATGCAGGGAGATTGTGTCTGGGGCTTCGGTCGTGATTTTGCGCGAGGACGTCGGCTCTCGGGGGATGCAGCGTGGCTGAACGAGCCCTCCTCCCGGCAGGCCGGGGAAGCGGAGGCGCGGCCACCACAAGGGGGATGCAGCGGGCCAGATCTCCGATGGTATATGTAAATTGTTCAATCCCAGCGTTTTTTCTAGATCTCGGCCTCTGGGGCACGCTACCAGGCCCTGGGACCACGAAAAATGGATCCGAGGCGCAAGACTACCCCCGGGGAAGGGGTCGCGGATTGAAACTTGTCCCAGCTCAGGACCAACCATATTCAGCTGTGAGCAAAGCACTTGTGAGTATCGTCGTCGGTTGAGCTCCCGAGTGGCCACGAAAGGTGTGAGGGGTGTGCCGAAGCGGACATGCGGTGGGTGGGGAGCCGCATGGCCTTCGGTGGAGCTCCCCATGGGGCCACCAAACGTGAGTGGTGTGCCGAAATCGACATGCGGTGGGCGGGGAGCCGCATGTGAACCCTGCCACTGGGGCCTTCGCTGGAGCTCCTTATGGAGCTGCAAAACGTGTGAGCGGTGTGCCGAATGGACATGCGGTGGGCGGGGAACCGTATGTGAACCCTGCCCCTGGGGCCTTCGGTCGAGCTCCTTGTGGGGGCACAAAACGTGCGAGGAATGTATCACAATGGACATGCGGTGGGCGGGGAGCCGCATGTGAACCCTGCCACTGGGGCATTCGGAGGAGCACCCTATGGGGCCACGCAACGTGTGAGGGGTGTGCCGAAACGGACATGCGGTGGGTGTGGAGCCGCGTTCGAATCCTGCCACCGAACCTTCGGTTGAGTTCCTCTGGGGCCACAAGAAGTGTGAGGGCTGTGCCGAAATCTTCATGCGGTAGGCGGGGGGTCGCATATGGACCCTGCCACTAGAGTCTTCGGTTGATCTCCATATGGGGCCACGAAACGTGTGCGGGGTGTACCGAACTGGTAGACTGATGCGGAGAACAGAAGTAAATTGGGGGAGGGGGGAGGGGGACGGGGAGTGGGAGGGGAGGGGGAGGGGGAGGAAGAGGAGAAGGAGGAGGAGGAGCAGGAGGAGGAGGAGGACCAGTGTAAACTGCAGAATCACCAACGATGTTGGAATAAACCCTCCCCCCAAGCTCCCTTTTCACAAGCTCCTACAACGGTTCATTTTCACAGAGGGACCTGCCTCGTTGGAAGACAACCGTTTGAAGACCCTGAAGCATGCCAAAACATTGTTCTCGGGATTCCAACGCCACGGATAAACTTGACTGCTGCGCCTTGACGACCCTGAATCGTGCCTGAACGCCGTTCCTGGGACTTCAACACCGCGAATCATCGTAACCGTTGCGCCCTCATAATCGCGAACCCGTCCAAAACACAATTTCTGGTACGTCGATCATGGGAACCCGTTGAGCTCTTGCAATTGTTGTAAAAAAAATGCGCGGCGCGGAGACGAGAACCACATGTTGAAAAAGAACCGCCCTCAATTCGTGAAACTCTTTCAAGTTGTTCAAGCGAATGTGCGGCAAGAGCCACATTTTAAACACCCGCGCTGAATCCGTGAAACTCTTGCAGAATTGAAAACGACTGCCTGCGGCGCTAAGACGATAGTCACATTTAGAAAACCACCCACCCTCAATCCGTGAAACTCTTGCAATGTGTTCAAACAAATGTGCGCGGCGTTATGGCGAAGACCACATTTTGAAAACCATCCGCCCTCCATTTGTGAGACGGTTGCCAATGTTTAAGCTTGAGGGTCATAAATGGTGAGGAAGTCTCTGGCGAAACGCTCGGCCCGCCCTAAAAACTGGCCTCGGGCTGCGACAGGGAGAAGTTACTTCTAAGGAGAAGGACTGGAGGGGGAAGAGGGAACACGGGGCGCTGTCTCTTCAAAACGAAGACCCAACACCACAAGATTGTTGGGAAAAACATATCGGAGGATGTCGGGGGAGGCCACGGGACGGGAAAACGGGAAACCGACCAGCACCAACAAATAGGCGCAACCAGGGCTCCACAGGCGCATTCTGGGCCACTCTGTGTTGGGGTTCTCAGAATAGCGGTGCGGCGGCAAACCATACGGTGACCTCGAAAACCCGGGAGGTCTCACTGCAACAGTCAGGCACTGCATGGTTTGGGGACTTTGCATCGATTGCCCAAGAGGCCGCGCGCTCACCCCCAACCTCCACCAGCTCCCCACATCTGCGACGTCCTGTTTTCTCGCAGCGCAGACCCCAAATCTCCAGACCCCTTCCCAGGGACCAGGTTTTCATCCCGAATCGTGTCTAGTCTAGACGGTCCCGCACAGCCGGTGAGGGCCGCCGAGGCCCGGAAATTGCCAAAAACCTCCCATCTTGATTTTTTCCGTACAGCCAATGCAAGCCCCTGAGGCCCTTTTAGCGGGGCTGCCCATCGAAAGTAGTTACTCAAGGATGGACCGAAGAGGCAAGAGTGCAAATGTTCCCTTGGGAAGGCGACCGCGACCCCTCACTACTATCGGCTTCGACTGCAACGCGAGGAGGCGGGGGTCACCCGACGGTGTGGTCAAAAGGGGCCCCAGGACACACAAATAAATACACACAAATAAAATGATTCCCAACATGTTCCTATACTTTTGGGGTTCTCGTCTTCCCATCCACTTCCCATACTTTCCCATATTTTCTGGGGAATCGAAGATTAATTGTGTCTGTGTGTCTCTTTTCCTCCTGATGGTCCCCACACCGCTTCGACACTGCCCAAGCTTGCTGGGCCTCCAGGCCCGGCCAGGAGCTGGCGGCGCTGCCGGGGCCTCTGAGGCCCAGGGGGGGCGCCCGTGCGCGAGCCGGCGGGACGGGGCCAGCCTTCCTCCTCCCCCCTGGGGAGGTGCGGAACGTTTTTGAAGGGGCCCCAGGACACACAAATAAATACACACAAATAAACAGATTCCCCATCTTTTCCCATAGTTTCGGGGTGTCTGTCTCCCCTCCCACTTCCCGTATGTTCCCATATTTTCCTGGGGAATCGACGATTCATTGTGTCTGTGCTTTTTCCTCTCTTAACCGGAAGGGGCCCGCTCCCGACCCGCCGACCAAAAAAGTGTTTTTTCCTCGAAGTTTTGGCAAGCACAGCGTGCAGGAGGGGGAGAGGAGGGGGGGGGGAGAGGCGCGGCCCAGATCCCGGCGCACGCGGTCCGAAGGGGGAGAGCGCCGCCTGGCCTCCGCAGCCCACGGGCGGCAGGGGCGCAGGGGCCCCCCTCCAGGGACGGGGCGGGAGGCGGAGCGGCCGCTCCCGCTCCAGCAGCACGCGGGCGCTGCCGACTCGAGGCCGAGGCTCGGGCCTCGCGGAGCCTCGAGGCCGAGCACGAGGGCCCCAAGTAGGGCGGGAAGCGGGAGAGCTGCCACGGCGATGGCCCCCCCGATCACGCCCGCCGCCCCGGGGGAAGAGCAGAGCAGCTCGCCATCGCTCGGGCGTCCCTTCCCCGTGCACTGTTCGGCATCGGGCGCTTTGCGGTGGCACGCTGGTGCGCGAGGTGCTCCTCGATGGCCCACGCCGGAAAAAATGTACGCGTCCGAGCGAGGCCAGGGCAGGTGGCGCATCCCCCCCCCTTCGCCCGACCCCAGAGGGGGGCGCGGCCGCCGAACGGGGAGGCGACGAACGGGGGGGTTCGTGGGTGAGAAAGGTGCACCTCTTGGGCCCGAGAGGCCCACTGCTGGACCCTGAAGGGCCCCTTCAGGGGCCCTAAAGGGCCCCTTTTCGGCAGCCCTCGCTGCCCCCCCCCCCCCCTCTCATGTATTGCCCCCCCCCTCATGCATCGCCCCCTCCCCCCATTGCGTGACGCCCAAAGGGGCGCGGCCACTGTCCCAGGGAATAAGAAAGCACGTTCTGTATCCCACCTTCGCCCGACCCCAGAGGGGGACGCCCGCCGAAAAGGGTACGGAAAAAATGGGCACGCTGCCCGGCAACAAAATGTTATCCGAAACCGACAGCAGCAGCTGTTGGGTAGGCGGCCTTCTGCCTCAAATGGACAACAGCAACAACAACAACAACAACAACAATAACAACAACCACAACAACAACAACAACAACAACAACAACAACAACAGCAGCAGCAGCAGCAGCAGTAGCAACAACAACAACAACAACAATCATTTTACCCGAACGCTCAGTGTTCTCCCCAGTGCCAGGGTTTTCATGCGACGCCAGCCAATACCCCCACTTCGTGGGGGGGCAATGCAAGCTCTACCAAACATCCACACGACTCTCGGGAACCACCCACACCCAGCTTCCCGCCCTATGACGTCAGGACACTTCACTTCGTGGCGCGCGGACGATCGTGGATACTACACTGGCGTGGAGTACACACCCGCAGAGGTTGATCACTTGTTTGGGCCCCGCATGTGCCCCGCATGGTGCATTTGTTGCGTATGACATACATAGTACAGAGAGACAGAGAGAGAGAGAGAGAGAGCAAGACAGAGAGCCAGTGGAGAGAGAGATAGAAAGAGATTCGTCACATGTGTGAGGCAACCTGAGAAGATGTGGTACACGGTACACGTGAGATGGTACGCAGTGCCAAGATAGTTGGTCACATTTTTGAGGCAAATTCCTGGGAAGGCGATTACACAAGTAGATGTGTTACGTATGATAGATATGAAGCAGAGAAAGAGCGAGAGACAGAGAGAAGGAGAGAGAGGAGTCGGTCACATCTTTAGGGCAACTTCCTGAGGGATGTGGGAGGACACAAGAGAGAAGGTATCGTTGTCCCGATGGTTGTCTCGATGGTTGCCCCGATGGTTGTCTCGTTGCCGACGGATATGAGCGTGAGAGGAAGGGGGGAAGCCTCCTGGGGCCGCTGGGGGTCCTCTTGGGGAAGGGGGGAAGCCTCCTGGCGCCGCATGGGGTCCTCTTGAGAGGCTTTGGGGGGCTTCTTGAAAGCATGTTGGGGCCTCTTGGGGGCTTATTGGATCCTCCCGGAGGACTCTTGGAGCCGCTTGGACGCCTCCTGGGGCCATCTTGGGGGCCTCTTGGAGCCAACTTGGAGCCTCTTTGGAACCTCTTGGGGGCCTCTTGGAGTCCTCTTGGGGCCTCTTGGGACCATCTTGGGCGCCTCTTGCGGCCTCATGGGCGCCTCTTGGGGCCATCTTGAGCGCCTCTTGGGGCCATCTTGGGTTTTAAAGATTCATGAAGAGCCCGCGGGTGGATTTTGATATTTTTCGGATGAGAAAGTCTTGCGTTTGCATATGTTTTCGGAACATCGCATCTTGAAATTATTGAAATCACATTATGTTTGGCAGGATTTCGGCACGCGCGCGCGGCGGCCGCGCGCATGTGCACTTCGTGTCATTTTTTGCAAGGGATGGTGGCCCTCGTAGGCTCGCAACCGTTGTTGCAGAAGGTCGAAGCACCTGAAAAGGTTCCTCGCAAAGGCCCTTTTAACAGAAATGTTTAAAATCTGGTGGGTTTCCTAGGAATCCGCAAGAGCGCGCGGAAGGACATTTTGACAATTTTTTCTGAGAAAACCATTGGGTTTTTGATGTTTTTATGTTAAAATCGCTACGAAACCTAAGGTTTTGGAAGGATTTCGTCTTGCGCGCACGAATGTCCACTTTACCTTATTTTTTGCAAGGGATTCTTGCAATTTGATCAAGTAAAAACAAGAATTTTCATTTTCTATTGTTTTTTGCAAGGGAAAACGAGCGTCAACAAAAAACCGGATCCGGAGCTCATCCACTTTTCTGAAGCTTTCGCGAAAAAATGATGAAAATGTAGCTGCGGCCTAGGCGCGGCGCAGAGGTCGCGCACCAGGGGTCCCAACAATAATAATTCTTTAGAAGGAATAATGTTCAACAATTACTAGCACGTGGGGACACTCCGTTCTCACCAGTGCCAGGGTTTTCATAGGAGGCGGGCAATACCCCCACTTTGTGGGGGGGCCGGTTCAAGCTCTACCAAATTTCCAAACGACTCTTCGCCACCACCCACACCCAGCTTCCCGCCCTATGACGTTCGGACACTTCACTTCGTGGCATGCGGACGACCGTGGCTACTATTCAGGGCCCCGCGGCCGACGACGACGGCGTGCGCGCGCGAAGAAAAAACGAATGTGTCCCGCATGGTATTATTTGACAGGGATGATGGCCCTGGCAGGTGCGCAACCGTTGTCGCAGAAGTTCGAAAAAGTTGCTCGCAAAAGCCCGTTTGACAGAAATGTTTAAAAAGTGTTGGGTTTCCTACGAATCCGCAAGAGCGCGCGGGATGAAATTTCGACATTTTTTTGTTGAAAAACCATTGGTTTTTTGATGTTTTTATGTTAAAATCGCTCCGAACACTAAGCTTTTGGAAGGATTTCGTCTTGCGCGCGCGAATGTCCACTTTACCTTATTTTTTGCAAGGGATTCTTGAAATTTGATTATATTAGAACAAGAAATGTCATTTTATAGTGTTTTTTGCAAGGGAAAACGGATTACAACAAAACAACCGGATCTGGATCACATCGTATTACCTGAGGCTTCCTCACGAAAATGATGAAAACGTGGCTGCGGCCTAGGCGCGGCGGGGGGGGCGTGCACCAGGGGACCCAACAATAATTATTCTTTAGAATTAATAATGTTCAACAATAACAATAACAACAACAACAACAACAACAACAACAACAACAACAACAACAACAACAACAACAACAACAACAACAACAGCAGCAACAACGTCCGTGGCGACAGCGACAGCGAGTCCTGTGAACGACGAAAGGGAAGTGCTGCCGGTCGCTCGTACCCATTCTTTCCGTACCCATCTCGATCGTGCCGATCCTCCAGCCTGCTGACCTCGAACTCCGCGCCCGCCGGCCGGCAGCCGCAGAGCGCCAGGAGCCGGAACAGCTCGATGCCCGCCGCGCCACAGGGCGAGCTCATGAGGCTCACCTGTCTCGGGGTGCGCCGAGGGAGGCTTTCGTCCAACCTTCACCTCCTCTCCCATCCTCCTCCCTTCTCTCCTCCTCTCCTCTCCTCCTCCTCCCTCCTCCTCCTCCTCCTCCTCCTCCTCCTCCTCCTCCTCCTCCTCCTCCTCCTCCTCCCTCCTCCTCTCCTCCTCCTCCTCTCTCCTCCTCTCCTCTCTCTCCTCTCCTCCTCCTCTCTCCTCTCTCCTCCTCTCCTCCTCTCCTCCTCTCCTCTCTCCACCATCGCCTCACCTCCTCCTCTCCATCATCGCCTCACCTCCTCCCTCCTCTCTCCCATCCTCCTCCCATCCTCCTGTGCTGCCACTCCAGGCTCCGTGCCCCCAACCGCTGGGGCGAGGGGTCGGGCGCGCGCTGGCCCCAGCCGCCAGCTGCCCGCGCAGCGCGGGCACTGCTGTAATCATTCCTGGGGAGAGGTCCTGCTCGCCAGCCTGGCATCGGCGCGAGAGGCGCAAGCAGAGTGAGGCCCACGGCCTCCTCTCCACCGTGCGCAGGCGCGCCAGCTCCCCGCCGGCCACCACGACGGGCACCCGGGCAGGGACGCTGCTGCCATGGCGTCGGGGGCTCCCCCGCCAGAGGGGCGTGATGGCCACGAGGACCTGCGCCAAGAGGCGTGACTTGTGGGCGTGTGCAGCTGGAGGCGGTGATGTGTGGGCGTGCGTGGCCACGAGGCCCTGCGGCTTCCGCACGAGCTCCCGCACCCGCACGCGCGTCCGTCGCCGGCGAGGCAGAGTTAGTTGGCTGCACCGGCGCTGGAGCTCAACGGGGGCACCGAGATCGGCGCCCGCACACACGTGCTGGACGTGCTGGACGTGCGCGCGCAGGCCGGCCTGCAGGCGGTGGCCCGGCGGGGCCGCGGTCCGCACCTCGTCGAGGCGCCGGCGGGCCTCGGGGGCTGCCGCGGCGGCCGGCGTCGGCGAGGGCGCTCCGCGCGGCGGGGGGCCGGCAGAGAGCCCTGCCGTGGCGCGCGCCCAGGGCCTGGCCGCCCAGCAGCGCAGAGCACTACGAGGCCCGCCCCCCCTCGCGGGCGCGGCGGCTCGGCAGCTCGCCCACCTGGCGGCGGAGCGCAGGGGCCCAGCACCCGCAGGAGCTGCTCCGCGTGCTGCAGGAGCGGCTCGCGGCCGCCACGGCGGGCAAGGAGAAGGTCGACGAGAGCTTGGCGGTGGCGCCACCCCTGAGATCCGACGTTGCGGAAAAATTGCACCATGAGACGTTCGAGAGCCTCCTCGAGCGTCAAGCGTCCTTTCGCCGGCGGCCAGAGGAGGGCCTGCCGCAAAGACTCCGGGTATGGGGTCACGGGCCCGTGCGGCGCGCTGAGCTCCTTTGCGCACGGGGTAACTTGGCGCTTCTTGTCCTCCCTGCGCCCTGCTTCGGCTTAAGGCATTGGTGTGCGAATTGACACCTGATTGCTATCTCCCGGGGGGGGAACGTGGGCATGAGGTGCGCGGCGGCTCGCCTAGACTTGCGGCTGGGAAGGGGGGTGTCCCATGTTGCGGGTGATCTTGCTCGTCGTCGTCTTCTCTGGGGGCTCGCCCGCCCAAGTCTGGCTTGTACAGCTGAATTCCCGCTGGCACCCAAGCGTACCCCTTTCATGTCTTATCAGCGCGACGCTGATATCCAAGGGACGCCTGTCCCCAGCACGCACGGGTTCCCATTATGCCTGGGACACCAGTCCCCGGCGTTCCAAGAACACCTGTCGTCCCCAGCATTCTGGGGACCTGTCCCCGGCATTCCGGGAAACCCGGTCCCCGGCATTCCGGGGACACCTGTCACCAGCAGTCCAGGGACACCGGCCCCTGGCATTCCGAGAATACCTGTCCCCCGCATTCCGGGAACACCTGCCCCTGGAACTGTCCCCGGCACTCCAGACACACCTGCCCCCGGCACTCGGGGGACGCCGCGGCATTCTGTGGACACGTGCCCCTGGCATTCTAAGGGACCCTGGGACCGGTGTGCCCATCATCCGGGGGAACCCGTGCCCCCTGGATGCCACGCGCCTCCTGCCGTGCGCCCCCTGGATCCCGCAGGAGTCCCAGGGCGCCCCTGGCGCTCCCGGGTGCTTCCCCGGGCTCGGAAGCGCTGCCGGGCGCTCCCCCGGCGCTCCCCAGGCGCTCCCGCACGCTGTCCCGAGCGACTCCCGAAAGCGACTCCGCAATCGGATTTTCCTCTCTACGGATTTGCTGCCCTCCTCCTCCTCCTCCTGCCCCTCCTCCTGCTCCTACTCCTCCCCCTCCTCCTCCTCCTCCTCCTCCTCCTCCTCCTCCTCCTCCTCCTCCTCCTGAGGCTCTGGCACATCCCAGACGTCCCCGAGATTATGGGGAGAGATGCTGCGTGTCGCTGCCTGCTGTTGCCTGCTTCTGCTGCCTGCCGGTTTCTGCCCACCGCTAAGCCTGGCGGCCTGCTGCTGCCTACTACTGTCTGCTACTGCCTGCTGCTGCGTACTGCGGCTGAGCCCTGGGGACAAGAGGGCATTCCCTGTAGGCTCAACCTGGCCCTGGCTTTTTCCGATGCGTTCCTAGGTTCCCGAAATCCGACCCTGCTCATCTGCGTCCCTCTCTCTATTTTCTCTCTCTCTCTCTCTCCTTTTCTGTCGGAGGTTTGGGGGTGTGAACGGAAGTGACCCCAACCGGGAAATCGGTTTCGGTTTCGATTCGTGTCGTGCGTGCGGGCGAGGCGAAGCTGCGCGAGTTCCTGCAGTTGTGGAGGCCACACGGAGTCCAAAAGGTCGCCCGCACCCCCCCAGCCGGGCGCAGCCCCCGATGGTTGTCCCGCGGGTTGTCCCGATGGTTGACCCGATGGTTATCCCGATGGTTGTCCCGATGGTTGTCCCGCGGGTTGTCTTGATGGTTGTCCCGACGGTTGTCCCGATGGTTGTCCCGCGGGTTGTCTTGATGGTTGTCCCGACGGTTGTCCCGATGGTTGTCCCGCGGGTTGTCTTGATGGTTGTCCCGACGGTTGTCCCGATGGTTGTCCCGCGGGTTGTCTTGATGGTTGTCCCGACGGTTGTCCCGATGGTTGTCCCGATGGTTGTCCCGATTGGTTGTCCCGATGGTTACCCCGATGGTTGTCCCGATGGTTGTCCCGATGGTTGTCCCAATGCTTGTTCTGATGGTTGTCCCGACGGTTGTCCCGATGGTTGCCCCGACAGTTGTCCCGATGGTTGTCCCGACGGATGTCCCGATGGGTGTCCCGATGGGTGTCCCGACGGTTGTCTCGATAGTTTCCCGATGGTTGTCCCGACGAGTGTCCGGATGGGTGTCCTGAATGTTGTCCCAGATAGGTGGATACACAGTGGCAAATAGACAGTTATATAGATACATAAGCAGATTGGCGGATATATATATATATATATATATATAATGAATAAACTAAACAAATAAATAGACAGATAGATAAAAAGACAATTAGATTGCTAGATTGATAGATTGGTAGATTGCCCCGATGCTTCTCCCGATGGTTGTTCCGATAGGTCTCCCGATGGTTGTCCCGATAGGTATCCCGCGCACTCTTTACCTCCTTTTCACCCGAAGGGTGTTCCTATCGGTATATTGTTTTTAAGTGTGTTGCATCGTGAATGTATGCGTTCTCGTTCTCTCTCTCTCTCTCTCTCTCTGTCCTTCTCTCTTCCCC